GAAAATGTAAGATAACTGCCCAAGCTGGAGTCTGGCCAGATAATAACCTTAATGAGAAATGGCTAGGGCTATCATTTACACTTGATTTAAAAAAAAAAAATCCTCTAGCAGCCCAGATACGATATAAACAGTGTTGCTGGTGAAGGGCTCACCTCCAGTGTCCATGGCAATGAGCCCTCTTCCAGAGTTCCGTGGCCAGGGAAGGCGGGACTTCCTCCCTTCAGTTACTACTCACTGTGTATCACACTGTACCAGGCACGGAGGGCAAGGAGGACCAAAAGGAGACACTTCCCCCGCCTTCATGGCACTTGTGGGGTGGGGCAGGCAGGCAGTCATCAAACAGTCAACAAAAAACGTAAAACTATAGTGGGGTAAATGCTCTGAGTGTAGTCGGCTTTAAGAAACACCATGTTCTCTGCTGTAAGGGAACTATTTGGTTTCAACATCTACCTGTTAAGGGAAGCAGACTTCACAGAAAATGAAACTGACATTATTCAGTGTTCTAAACCTCTTATTCCAGGCTCAGCATGCTCTTGTATTATTAATTGTTAGGTGCAATCCTCTCTCAACAAGAGAGCAAGACCCCCCAGAGCAGACAGCGCCCATTACACTTCTGAACCCTGCACGCCGCTCGTGAGGGTCTCAATTATACAGGTGAGCGCACAGTGCCGGCTGCTGCTACTTTCTCAAAAGGCCTGAGCAAGCCCGCGCGGGCTCTCGGTGCCCAACCACATGCCGAGGACCGGCCATGTATGTGCCAGGGGCTGTCACAGAGCTGACAGACGCGCTGTCTGGCAGCTTCGCACTGCAATCAGGAAATTCTGAACTTCTTGCTGAGTAGAAGAAATCTGGAGTTTTTAAAAATTTTCATTTGCGGTTAGATTCTCTCTTTTCAGCACAGTTCCAGCCAGAAGTGAGAAACCAGAGTACAGCCGCCTGACAGGGCAGTAAATATGATACACAGACACTGAGGAAGAGACCGAGAAGATGGGCAGTCGCCATGAACCACTATGAGGCTACCACTGGTAAAAGCGACTAACGGCAATCATGGTAAGGCGACAGTGTGACTGCATATGCTCATTCTGCCGCAGGCACGAGGGCTAACTTACGGGGTGGAGGCCAGAACCACACCCTCACAGAAAGCCCAGCCGACGAGCTGCCCACCAGGTCTTGTTCCTGCAGGAACACAGTGAGCTCAGTGCCAAGAACCCACTGGAGTAACACTCCCTAGTACCCCACGAAGGACCCTTAAAACAAAGACTAACTTCTGGTCAGGAAAAGTACCATCTCCCTACAAAAAAATGGGCCACGGTCGACCTCGCCCTCACTGGGACACTGGCTGATCGGCTGATGGTTCCAGTTTCACCCCAGATTTCCCAGTGGGCTCCGTGTCCAGCTGAAAGACTACAAGAACACAAAAGATGGAAGCAAAGTCAGTGCAAGGGTCCCTTTGCTAGCCCTGGAACCTACGGTGAAACCCAAATGGGTCACACCAGCTATTGTGGTCTATTTTCTTGGCCTGAGAGCAGCTATGAAGACTCAGGAAAAAAACAGATAAACTTTTGAAGCCATTTTCAGTGCTGCCTCTCAGCGACACTTACACCTGCCCTGGTAGCTCCAGGGTGACACACTGCAAGATTAATGGCTCCGTCCAGGGGAAGCTACCAAAATAATGACAAGTCAGAAGTTTTTAAGCAAGGTTCCTTTAAAACAAGGTGTAGGGGAACATCCGGCCCCTGTGCCACATAAGATCCATGAAATCATTTGGACTCGAGATTTAATAATCTATAGCAGGCTAATTTTTAAGTTGATAATTTTGTGTGGCCTGCAAATGTTGAAAATATCCAAATGACCCTTGGAAGAAAAAAGGTTCCCCATCCCCCCACCCCTGCTTTAAAACAGTCTGTCCTGATAGTGTGGCAGAAAGACAGGACATGGCAACAGGAGTCCTGGGGCCAGTCCCTGTCCCGCTATAGCCGGGAACCAGGGCCCTGGCGCAGTCTCTTCTCCTGCCAGTGCCAGCAGCTGAGTAGTGACCGCCCAGTGACAGCACAAACATTCACGGACTGCCAGTGTGGACTGACTCTTCCTCCGATGACTACTGATGGCTGTTACTGCTGATTTTTTTTAATATAAGCAAAAGGTGCCCAATCTTTCTAATGTTTAATTCACAGTAGAAACACAGGCAACACTGGGAGGGAAGTTGGGGGAAGCCATTGTAATCCATAAGCTGTACTTTAGAAATTATATTCATTAAATAAAAGTTAAAAAAAAAAAAAACAGACAACAAAAAACACATGGAGTTTGGGCTCTGCACTCCAAGCTCGACACTTTTACACACGTGTCCCCTATTCCTGTCAGGAGCCTAATCAATCAGAAGTGATGTCTCTAAAAACACAGAAAGGCTTGAGACACGTATGACAACCAATCCAAACGCTGTGCGAAGTCAATCTACGACACACAGATGTTCAAATCCAAGGCTTTGCCTTCATGAACTTCATCTAAACTCCCTAAAACTCACACAGTGAATCATTTCATGAATATTTACATAATGTCACAATCATATTTACTGCAATCTAAATCAAGAATGAGCCAATTTCCTTTGGTTCAAATACCACATTTTAAAAAGATTGCAACACTGCGTGAAACTCAGAAGTCTGCCAGGCCAAGACTCTCAGACTCGGTGCACCTGTGCAGCAACGCTGATGGCCAGAGAAACAGGAAGGCCACGCTCTTTAGACGGGAAGGGGCTGGGTTGTCTAGAGCTAACAGCCATCTCTTCTACCCACTCTGTGTCACACAGCCCGACAGCAGGATTCTGAAATCAGAGTAGCACCTGGTAAATTCTCAAACTGGGCTTTGTTGAAGGGCTCTGGAGAACTCTGTTCCCCTAAGCGCTCAGCTCCCTCAGTCCTGTAACTCACCTACCGGCATCTCTGGCTTCTACCCTCCCACTCTCCCCACCGTGTCCACCTTGGCCTCTCGGTGGTTTCCTCGGCTGGCCCAGGGATGCGCCCGGTTCCTGCCTCTGGCTGTCACACGTGCTACCTGAAACGCTCATCCCCAGCCCTAGAGCTCCTTCCTTCAAATCCGCCTGCATGTCACCTTGCCAGGGAGTGCTCTCGTGTGCCCCAATGAAAGTCATAACCCACGCTTCCCTGTTGAAGTTCTATCCGACACTCGTAGTTAGCACTTTATTTTCTAATCAGAGTAAGAGCTGCTTTTGTCTGCTTGGCATGCAGCAGATGCTCAGTAAATACCCGCGGAACGGATAAATGGGCCAACATGCGACAAACCGTTCTGTCTGCAGTGTTGTCACATTCAAACCTTCAGCTGCCCTGGAGAAAGGACTCAGCAGCTAGGCTGCAGGGTGATGTGACTCCAAGGGCTTAGGAAGAATGTTCTGGAACGTCAAGTGGGCTGGATGAGGAAGAGGTGTAGTTGCAGCACGATGACTCACCTCTCCAGTTGTTCTCAACCTAACGAATGCCTAAGAATCACCTGACTGCTCCCTACACAGACAGACTCCCAGGCTGGCCCAGAGAGGCTGAGTCCGCAGATTCTGAGCTGGGTGATTCACAGCTCACCCCTTCAGACACTGCCTGAGCGCCCCTCCTGCCTCGGTGTGAGACCCAGGAGAAGGAGGCGCCCCCAACGTGGCTCATCAATCACCAAAGCGATCCGAGCTGACACTGCGGAACAGGAAGAAGCACCACCGACGGCTCAGACACGCAGGAGAGAACCTTCTGCAGGTGCTACAAAGGTGAGTGAGTGACTAAAAGGGCGGGTCTCTCCCAGACTTCCTGTGGCGCTCAGTGTTGTACCCCCAGGAATGCTGCCACTCCAGGTGAGTACGTTGGTTCGCAGGTCCACGCTAGGGAGGCTTACCCATGGCAGATCCTGGTTGCACAATATTAGGGACTCATATGACCTGTTGTGTTTTTCATCCAAGTCAGACCTACCCCATTCTTCAGCTACAGGGAAAGACGCCATCTTAAAGCATGAAGCACAGGACTCGCCAGAGTGACAGCACCAACAGAAGGAAATTATGTTTCTGAATTTGATCTTGGATAACCAAACAAACCCAGGACGCCCACTGCAGAGCCAGCCCAGGAAGAGCAAAGCTGGCTCTCAATGAAAGAGCTGTTTTCTTTCAACAGTGGATCACTGCACCAAAAACCACAGGTCTTCTGCCCAGTTTGTTACTTAATTCACTTGCTCCAACTGCTGCAAAGAGAAGACAGCCACACTCTGTATCAAGGAGGGAACTAACCGTGCAAACAGATGTTTGCTCCAAATTCCAAGGAGTGACCCTAACCCAAAGGTTCTAATTTTGTTTTTCCAATGTAGGAACAGCTGGTGCCGACCCCTCCAGGGAAAACGCTAGCTTCTGGAAGGTCACCAGCGGGGGGAGGGTGCATATGTGTGTGAAGAGAGGTTATTTTTTTCCTTTGTCTCACAGGAACGTGTTTATTTTTCCAATCTCTTCTCAAAACTTAAAATGCTCTTCGACACACCTCGTAAACAACAGCTGCTGGGTGCCCAGACGGGTCCGAACATTCCTGGAAGCGTTCACATACAGTAAGAACTAACTTGGAATCACAGGAAAGAAGTTCTTGTGGTGGTCTAGGGAGTCACTGGCCTAGGATCTTTGGTGTTACCCCAAACGAACTCCAGGCTGTTCTATATAGCACAGCGTCTGCTTATAGCAACTGCCAGAGGAATTTATTACAGATAATATGAATTTTGAAAGACAACTCCAACCTTTGTCTTACAAACAGCTCCACTGTATCTGACCTATTTTGCTTTGCTAAGGGTAAAAAAACAAAAAACAAAAAACACAACAAGTAGGATGTGCGATGATCCTCTGAAGAATCAAAAAATAGGGACAGCACTGGCACGCGGATACCCCCGACTCCAATTCCTCCCAGATCCGTGAGCGCCCTGCTCAGCCCCACAAGCTGCCAGCTGGCAGTGCCCGGTTTTCTCCGTCAGCTCACCTTCTCTCCTTGGAGTGACGGGACGGAGTCCCGCAAACTGTGGAAGCTGTCTTTGATGTGGTCCCTGCGTTTCCGTTCCAGTGCATTGTGATGAGCCCGTTTGTCAGCCTGGAAGAATGGGAGAAAGAACACGTTAGGGATGCCCCTCCTCTGCCTCGGTACAAGGTGGGCTGGGTACGGCCTGGGAGTGTTGGATGTCAGCGCTGTCCAGGCGAGTGGACCAGGCCGGACTTGTCGAGGACAGCAGTTAGGAGTCTCCAGAATTAGGCTCTGCTGCAGGGGGAGAAAGGGGTGAGCAAGGCTTGTGACAGGAACATCCAAAGTAGCGCGATGCATCCAGCTCATGCATAAGTGAAATCGAAGTTATTGGTGGGGGCGAAGTGAGACTCGCTGCAACGTCCGTGCCCCTCCCCCTCCAGCGGGCCCCTGTCTAAGATGCGGTCACCCCACTGCAAGAGACCCCCGGGAAGGGGGTGCCCCAGGGGCTCAGGTCACTAGTGCAAGGCTACTTTCCACGGGGAGCCGTCACCGGAGGCTCCGGTCCGCTCGCCAGCCCACCAGAAGGCACTAGGTTTAAGCAGCTCTCATCACATCACACGACAGAAACGAAACCTCTAGAAAACCCCGATGCACGAGTGAGATCATCCACAGGTACCGACAGCTGCCAGCTGCATTCGGAGCGCCCCTTTCCTAAAGGACGTCAGAGGTGCGACCCCGCCGAGGGCTTCCCCTCACACAGGCTGGGCCAGACAGGCAGCTCTGAATGGGCAGACCTGCTGACATCCACAGGCCCCGAACAAAGTCCCTCAGGCACCTGGGCTCATTTAGCGCTATCTAAACACCCAGTCTTTCACCTGTCCTGCTCGGAACTACAAAGAACCATCAGCTGGCAAGGGAGAAGCCTGCCAACGACCCGGAGCAGAGGCGCAGAGCGGCCAACAGCACAGGCTCCCGGGGCGGCCGCAGAGCTTCAGCAGGTCCCCGTCACAAGGGCATCTCCCCCAGTCAGTCACTACTTAACCCGCAGCAAGGACATCGCGACACCTACTCCAGGGAATTACGGCAGAGACAGGCTGAGCGCTCACCCTGAACACAAGGCTGCCTGAGCTGACCTGCGGGGCTTCCACCTACCCACACAGAGCCCAGCGATTCTGAAAGGGAAGTAACCAGAACAAACAGCTTGCCTTAGCACAAGACTAATGCCATCTCAAATGAATCCCTGTACTAGACACGACGTACAGAAATCTACGCCACACACAAGGACTGGGGGAATGGAAGGATCTGAAGTTCTCCCATTATCTAATCCTACAAGTCTGAGTCACTGCGGAGGGAGCGCCGACCGGCAGCAGCTGCGGTCTCGCAAGCACAACACCTCACCTCAGCTCTGCTGAACCAGACCTGTGGCTCCCGGCACAGCCATGGCCCCCCTCCAGTGCCACTTGTGCTGGCGGGGTGGGGGGGCAGAGGTTGGGAGCACTTCCAGAGCTGTCCTAATCTCATAAATCTAAACTCACTGTAAAATGAATGCTTACTGAACTACAGCGACAAATAGAGTATTACAGAGAAACGGGGGGGAAATAAAAATTGGAAAAGCAGATCACCTAAATATAGAGGGAGACACTACATTACACAACATCCGAGCAAGAGAACAGCAGGTGCCTTTCACAGCTGTAGAGAAGAGCCTGAAGGAATTCCACACACTGGAGTGGCTAGTCCCCAGCTAACTTACTGTTCCCTCCAGTTATCTGTGCAGAGATAAGCTGGGCTGGGCCTACACCTAAGGAGTGCAGAAGGCTAAGGGGTATTTACATGTGTCTGCTGCTCCAGTGTTTGCTAATACAGCCCCCCAACACGGCCTATTTACATGCAAATTAATCACCCAGCTTTGGTCTCCAGCAGTAGCCCAAGATACTCCTGTCAACTAAATCGCTCCAATTCCTGGCCCTTCTCCCAGCTTAGAAGCTGTGCACAGAAGCAGTGTGCATCAGAGTTACCCACAATCCCTCTTGTTGATACAAATAAAATTCTAATTGTCTGCTTTCCTTCTGGGAGAGCCCTACAAATCTCAAACAGGCTAGAACCAAGTTGTGCTTGGTTTTTCACGTGGGCCTGAACTAGAGGGGCGGAGCTAAGTATAATCTGACACCAAAATCCTCCAGGCAGGGCACCCCCCCTCACATTCACTGGGCTCTGAAAGGACTCAAATGGACAACAAGTCTTTTGGTTAGAGGATTGTAAGTGAACTTGGCTGTGGACCATTAGCAGAAATCTTGGCTTCTCATCTGGGGAGCCAGCCAAGTTTGAGAAGTTGGCTCAACAAGGGAAGGCAGCGGCCCACTGCCTGGTGGAAGGCCTGGGCTGGGGACTGCTGTTCTCCAAGCAGTGGATGGGGTTTCTGTGTGGTTCCAGGACCAGTTCAACCACCAGAAGAGTGGAATCTTAGGCCAGCCCCTACTGCTCTGTCCTCTGAGCTGCTGTGCACCGGAAGCAGGGTCAGTTTTGAAGCCCTTAAGAGACAATGGCAAGGAGGGACTTTTCTGCTCCCCAAGCCTCACTGTTAAGAACAAGGTAAAAACCTGCAGAACAAACAGGGAACCCGGGCAACTCGGACCTAAATAAATACTATCGCTGGCGGCTTGGAGGAGCACAGGAGACTAGAAAACTCCACTTACACAGGCTGCAAATGCTCTTTGGGAAACATTTCCAAACCACAGGTCCATGCAGCCTGATAACGCTGCCCCTCCCTCCCGCACCCTCCTAACTGTCTTCACCTGCTGCCAGCCCTTGCTCAAAGGGCCAAGATTTCAGAGCCGAGAAAGAAAAACTGGGAGGGCTCCCGGGACAAGGCATCTGAGATCCTCCCACGAAATCAAAACCATTTGAAGGAGGTAGAGGGTGTGGGGCGCAAATAATTTGTGTCTTGAACACAAAAACTCCAATGAGGCAGCTTTCTCTTGCCTGTACTAAGAAAGATGGTTGATAACAAAAACGGCTGGTACTGAACGTGCCCTTGTGGAATTAATTAAACAACCGAGGTATCCTTGGGCCACAGAGCAGGCCCCTCCGGAGCCCACAGGAGCCGTGGCAGGACTCTGCCTGCTCTGCGAGCGCTGATCTGCGGTTACTACTGCGGAAACCCTCCCTTCGGGGCATCCCGGCTCGCAGCTACCCAGAGAGTGGCCCACAGATGCGCAGCCGGAAGCACGGCACCAAATCACTTCCAGCTTTGACATCTCTGCCAAGGTTTCTGTTCGACCTCAGCTCTCCTTCTACCAAAGTTTCCACCCTGGCAGCCAGAATAAAAAAGTCCTCACCTACAATTTGTCCATCTTTGACACTAACAAGCACCTGCTTCCTAAAGCGTTGCTGGACGTTGAAGGCAAACATTAGTTTGTTAGCCCAGAAGTTGCTAATCTGGCAGGAGGTCATCCAAGCTAAGGAGAGCTGTTCAAAATTGAGGAAAATCTTTAAAAACTATTTCCTCCCAACATACTGCCCAGAGGACGCACCCTCCCTCGAGGCATCAGCCGGCAGCCTCCCCTCCTGCTACTGCAGGACGCAGCATTACCCAAGGGATGCACGAGTTCCCCAGGACAACGCCGGCCGACCTGGCCGACAGGGACAAGCTTCTCAGCATTCGGGGAACCGACAGTTGCCCACCGACTAGCTGCTCACGGCTCTTAAGACACTGGCAGGCTGCATTCTACAGCAAAGAGAGCTAATGCTTTGATTTTCATCAAGCTATTATTTTTAAACACTTAAGGACATTAAAAATACACGGCCCCAACATTCTCCTCAGCAGAGAGTTATCCATTACTTCTGAGACATGCACGCCAGACAGGATAAAGACAACCGAATGCGGGAGCAGCTTAAGACTGTTCACTCCCATTAACACGGAACAACGGGCGGCCGGGACGGGACAAGCCCACCAAGGCCCCAACGGGAACGTGTGGATTTCAGTTTCCTAACACCACTCCTGCCTGGGATCCATTTCCCAGCATCATCCGAAGCGAGCCGTCTGTTTTCGAGGTTTTCCCATCACTTGGCAACGGTGCCATCCAAACACGGCACCGCAGCAGAGCCAGCCGGGGCAGGATCCCTCGGTCAGGAAATCGGAGTGAGAAAGTCAAGCTGGATTCCCGGACCCGCCAGTGCAGCATCACTGGCATCCTGACAACAGACTCTTTAAATGGAAGAACACCTTCCACTCTGAAACCAGCAGTGCGCTCGGGCCCCAAGCCCGGCAGCACTGAGCGGAGGGAGAGCACAGGCCCCGGGCAGCACTGGTGCTCGCCACTGAGTCAGGCGCCCGGCGGGCGCTCCTGGGCGCATTCCAACTCGGCGGCCACCAGGCCGATTCCCTTCGGGATACACTGCGATTCCTGAGGATGCCCAGAGCTCTGAGAAGTCAAACACATTTCCTACCAGCAGGGCTCAGAAGGGACACCCCGCACAGCTGCTTTTACAGCCCTACCAGGAAAGCAGTGAGGGCTGGCCAGTCAGCGGCCACGGAGAACACCACACGGAGCACACGCTCGGCCGCCACGCCACGCCACACCACGCCACGCCACTTCCACTGCCACTCTCGCGCAGAGACATTCGCCAAGCAGAAAGCAAGCAAAAACACTCCCTTGCACTAAATAGACCCATTCCAGAAATGTATCCTTGAAGACACAGCCTTTTTCCCTCCAAACGCAAACTAAAAATCTGCCCAGCAGGGTTCAGCAACGGGTTGGGGTTCAGTAAAGGAGAACACTGTTGGCCGTGGCTTCCTTGCACCAAGCTTCCTGGCCACGGGACAAGCTGTTTTCCCTCGCACAGAGGCAACTGAAAAAAACAGTCGTCACATCAGTTTCACTTTCTCTTCCAGCCAGCCCGGCTGCCTCGCTCCGTGCCTGCTGCCCCCTGCACTTCTCTCCGAGCACGGCTCAGACACCGGAACGGCACCAGAGCCCGTCCGTGGCTGGCTCTTCATGGCTTAGGGCCCCCAGAACCTTTTCCAAATAACTTCGAAAAAACTCTCTGGAGTCCTTAACACGGAGTTGTTCAGTTTTTTGTCTTTTTCCTTTGAACGTTTTTTTAAGGCAAAACTTACAAACAGTTTTCCCCATAATTTTTTGCCAATATTTTTATTTATACTAAATCTCAGCAAACAGATGCATTCACAGAGGAAACAAAAAACCCCTTTTCACCCTGCACACGCGCAGGTGGTCTGGGCCGTCGGAAGATGCATTTGCTTTCTGTCTCCATGCTGCTCGTGATCTTCTGCCTCACATTTAAAAATCCAACAAGCAGATGTGTCAAGTTCATACCACAGGGTCAAAACTGCTTCCCTTGCCTTCTCCCCAAAATCAACGGGGGGGAAGTAGGCACCTTAACAGCAAACTGAAAACATCTGGACAAAACAATGAGAGTCGCCCTCTAGGAGAGGAACTACTCTAATAATCTAATCAACAAATTTACATGAATCCACGGGGATGAACATTTGGAAAAGCAGGAAGCTTCCAAAAACCGTGAGCCAAAATTTCATGCACAAAAGAACCTTCCTCTCACCGGGAAGCCATCGGAATGCAAATGCACAGGGCGGATTCTGCAGCGACTGACACCTGACTGACCAACCCCGGTCCAGCCCTGAGCCAGAGGTCGGCAAACAATGCTGCAGGCACACTGGGCTCCGCTGCCACATTAGTGAGGACAACAGCAACGGGAAGAGGGAATTCAATTTTCACATCCATGGGTGAATACGAGTGTGCATCATGACTTCAAAGAGAAATAAAGCACAGCAAATATTCACGACTGCTGGCCAGGAGCAAGTGCACGCTGGGAGTTCAGTGGAAACATCAGCTCTCAGGCCAGCTTTCCTAATGGTCTCTCTTGGACAACCCGTGCCACCTTGGCGTGCTCTGATGACGCACAGGGACAATGCAGAGAGCTTGCCTTTGTGGTTACTAAATTCCTACACCAGGGGTCTACCGCGGCATCCTGCAAACTCTACCAAGCCTGCACACAGCTGGTCCACACATTCTTTTGAAAATCACAAAAGTCATATACAAGTTGTGGATTTCCACTATTTCCTTCACAACAGGAAGATCTGGCAACAGCGGGTGCTCCTCCCACATACCCACCCACTGGGGCGGAGGAGCGCCTGCCTCTTTGGGAGGCCTGTGTCCCCCAGGAGCCCAGGCCCCACCTCTTCCCTCCCCTGGACTCTCAGCTCCCCACTGCCTGGGGCACCCCACAGCTCCCGGCTCCTAGCTGACGACCAGCACAGCCTCTGCCACGCTTCGCTCTTCTTGCCCGCTCCAGTGCGGATTTACTCCGCATCTCTCCTCTGCTTTCTCTGATCTAGCCACACACGCCCGCAGCACCGCTCCAAAGACAAGAGCTCCGAGTGGGAGTGCACAGGAGCACGCCCGAGCACACTGGCATCAGAACGTGGGAGCCACCGCGAGAACACCGGTGACCGCCTCCATCACCTTTCCCCAGCGCTGTCTTCAGCCGCTCTCACCATTCTCTATCCCCCTCTCCTTCAACTGGGACAGGGGCCGCCCACAAGGAGCCGCAGGTCAGGCTGGTGCCACGGCCCGCCCGCCCGCCCCGGCTGGTCTGCCGTTGGTGCTACAACACCTCGGCCTGCCAGCCCCATGACTCCCGGTTAGGGGCCATTACTGCATGTGGCTTCAGCCGGACCCAGCTATGTGGCTAGGGTTCAACACCGCCTGCTGCCTAACTCAGCCTCCCAGCTCCTTGGCCCTGGAGCGACGCCAGCCACTATCTGCCTCCAAAGGCTGTCCTCATTCCCCACTCGCACGGCAGGAGCTGCAAGCCCGTGTGGAAACTACAGGCCATTCCACGTCTTGGCTTCACTCAGCACTCAGTCACCTGAGAATCTGGAATTATGGGATTCGCAGCTCTCCCTCCCCACCCCCCGGCACCCCGGATTCAGGCCCCACCTCACCTTAGCGGGCAACAGGAGGGTTTACTACATTATTAAAAGTATTAGAACAATCTCTGGTTCTCTCTGACCCCAGAAAGGACTAGAACTGAACGGAAATGAAAACGAAATGGAGAGTAGGAGACGTACCGCAGATTGAAACCTCGGTTGCTCTTCCTGGAATAAGAGAGAAAAAAAAAATAGAAAATATAGAAGTTATTTTTACACTTCACACTCAATAATAAGAAAGAAAATGCCGGCGGCGGAGGAAGCGGCGGGTGGGGGGGGGGGAGTCAGCCCTTCACCCCTCCCTCCCCGCCCCACGCCCCCACCCTCCCCCAGCGGGATCCAGTAGCCGGGCAGGGGGTCCCGAGCGCCGCCCCTCTTTCCGGGATCCGACCCGGGCCAGAGGGGTTCCCGAGCACCGTCTCCTCCCCTCGGACCCAGCTCGGGCCGCCGGGACACTCCCAACCCCTCTCCGCTCTGCCGCACCCCCCGCACCCCCCAGGATCCGCGGGTCCCGGGAGGAGGGGATCGCCGACCCCAGGATCCGGACAATGAGATCCCGGTCGCACCCCAGCCCTGTCCCACGGAGCCTCAGCTGGCTAGGGTGGCGGCAGGAGAACGGGCCGGGGGTCCCAGAGGCCGCGTGTCCTCTCCCCCACCTCCAGCCCGGCAGCCCCGAGGGGAGCGAGCCGGGAGCGCGACCGAGGCGGTCCCGGCCGGGGAGGGGAAAGGGGGGGAGGAGGAGGAGGAGGAGGAGGAGGAGGCGGCGGCTGCGGCCCGGCCCCCTCCCGCCGTCGCCCCGCTGAGAGCCCTGGCCGCTGTCCCCGCCTGACAACCCGCACGGGAAGGAAGAAGCCCCGGGACTCACGTCGCTCTCCACCTCGATGTCATCGTTATCGCTCATTTCCTACGGCCCAGGGAGCGGCCACTGCAGCGGCGGCGGCGGGAAGGGGGAAGGGTGGAGGGGAGGGGGAAGTCACCGACAACAAGCAGCCAAGTGCCCCCACACACACACTCACTCACTCACTCACTCGCTCTCTCACTCACTCACACACACACACCCCCACACACGCACACACACACAACACGGGCGAGAACCACCTCCTCACTGCAGCACCGGATCAACGGCGGCACGCACGCCCGGTCGGCCCCCTGCCACGTGATCGGACTCGGCACGCTGGGGCAGCCGAGTCTTGTAGTTCTCGTCCTTGGGACTGACGGCCCGGCGAGAGCCCAAAGAACTACAAATCCCAGGAAGCACTGCAGCCCGTCGACGCCAGGCCGGCTTGCGGACGGAGCTCAGGGCGCCTGCGTGTCCCGCGGAGGAGGGCGGAGAGAGAGGCGGCGCGGCGCCTTCTGGGAGACGTAGTCCGCAGACCGCGAGTTGTCAGGAGGTTTTCCTCCCGAGGCGGCAGAGGAGGCTGCTGGGAAGACAGGACACGTGGAGGGAGCTGGGGCTCCGGAGCCGGGCACCGTCTGCGCTCTGGGCGCCGGGCCCGGGGGACAGGGTGGAGGCCCTGGGGGAAAAGCCGGCCGCATAAATAGCGCTGCCTCTCTTTGGTGCAATTGGTTTTACTTTGTCTCCTGGATGCTGGAGTCGCGCCGCTTTGCGCCCTGGGGCGTAACCTGCCGCGGCAGACCAGGGGGCGCAGCTCTGGCTGCCCACGCGGACCCTCGGGAACCGTGGAGGTGGTGATGGCAGGTGTGGGGTGGTGTGACGGCACGGGCACCGCGACCGCCCTCGCCGAGGGACCTCTCCTAGCCGCAGAGGCTTGCGTCCCTTTAGCGGGCAGTGTCGGTCCGCACGGCGCACGTGAGGCTCCCAGGACCACGGAGCCCACCCCCGGCAGCCGGGGTACCTGGAAGTGAAAGCGCCTTCCGGGTCCGGCGTAGCTCGGGCGGTCTGCAGAGTGCCCCGGCCCGGAGCACCGCGGCTAAAAATTGCAGACTGGAAGACTGGCGCAGCTGCCTCTCCGTTTGAAATCATTTTTACAGATCTGCTTCTCCAGTGTTCACTGGCACCTAACAGGTGCCGAAGGGGATGCCATCATGTCCCCTGCATTCATGCAACTCCCAGCTGGCAAGCAGAAGTCCACGCTGCGCGGCTGCCATTTCAGAGTGCACACAGGAAGGAAAAACAAAACAGCAACAAAGACATTTTCCGCCCTTATGTCCGATCTCCAAAATAAGCGAAATCTTGGACTTTTCCCCTGACTTCCGGCTGTCCACATGAGGAACCATTTTACCCCTGACTTTTGAAAGCAGGAATCTGGAGACGGGACACACAACCTTTGTGGCATCCATGCTGAAGACATTGGATGTAGATGTGCATGAACGCCCCTTTCCATTCTGTCCCTCTAAATAGTTCTCACTGCTGGTGAAGCCTGCACATCTTTTTTTTTTTTTCCTTTTTTTTTAAGATTTATTTTTCTTTATTTGAGAGGCAGAGTTACAGAGAGGCCGCCACAAAACACCAAACACCGGAGTAAGGCAAAGGGTTTATTGGTGGGGTAAACCCCACAGACCGGAGGGAAAGGGAAAAGAATGAAAAGAGAGAGAACAAAAGACAGTGAGAAAGAGCCACGTGTTCAGGAACAGGCTGGGGGGAAGGCGGTGGGCAGGGAAGTAGGAGCAACAAATCCTGTTAGGATGGGGGTGGAGCTGACACCGATGGTTGGGCCACAGGGTCACCTGGCTTCCAGCAATGGCGTGGAGGGCTAGAGCCTAGAATTGTGTCCGGGGTATAGGTCGGGCCGTAGATAAGACTGCCGCCATTTTACTAATAGGGAGAGACAGAGTGAGAGGTCTTCCATCCACTGGTTCACTCCCAAAATGATCGCAATGGCAGAGCTAAGCTGATCAGACACCAGCAGCCGGGAGCTGCTTCTGGTCTCCAAGGTGGGAGCAGGGGCCCAAACACTTGGGCCATCTTCCAATGCCTTCCCAGGCTATCAGCAGGGAGTTGGATTGGAGGTGGAGCATCTGGGACCCGAACCGGCACCCATATGGGACGCTGGCTCCGCTGGCTAAGCCAACTCTGCCAAAGAGCTGGGTCCCAAAGTCTGCACATCTTTGCAGATGAATTGAGTTTTTCTAAGTGCTTTTGTCTGGTTGTGTTCCTTTCATGTGAACTTGGGCAGACAGACACAAGCAGACTTCATGTGGTAAGAGCTGGTAGCTGATGGGTTCTGAGGAAAACAGGCATGGGTCGCTCTTGGATGAGCTAATTAACAAGATACTAGAAGTTAGGGTTAATTGATTATTATAGCCCACAGTCCATGGGTGTCTGCAAAGTGAAAAACACTAGAGGACCATTCTGTCCACAAGTTAAAAATGACCCCTGCGGCACAGCAGGGTCCAGCCACTGCCTGCTCCGCCACCCTCCCATATCAGCGCTGGTTCTAGTCCCAGCTGTTCCACTTCCTATGGAGCTCCCTGCTAATGCACCTGGAAGGGCAGAGAAAGATGGCCTGAGTGCTTGGGCCCCTGCTCCCATGTAGGAGACCCAGATGGAGTTCCAGTCTCCTAGCTTCAGCCTAGCCCAGCCCTAGCAATCATTTGGAAAGCAAATTTGGAAAGATTCTCTCTCTCTTTCTCTCTCTTCCTTTTCTATTTATTTTTATTTATTTATTTATTTATTTTTTTTGACAGGCAGAGTGGACAGTGAGAGAGAGAGAGAGAAAGGTCTTCCTTTTCCGTTGGTTCACCCTCCAATGGCCGCCGCTGCAGCCGGCGCACCGCGCTGATCCGATGGCAGGAGCCAGGATCCAGGTGCTTTTCCTGGTCTCCCATGGGGTGCAGGGCCCAAGCACCTGGGCCATCCTCCACTGCCCTCCCTGGCCATAGCAGAGAGCTGGCCTGGAAGAGGGGCAACCGGGACAGAATCCGGCGCCCCAACCGGGATTAGAACCCGGTGTGCCGGCGCCGCAAGGTGGAGGATTAGCCTATTGAGCCACGGCGCCGGCAGTCTCTCTTCCTTTTCTAGAGTTTAAGGAATTCCAGTGCCTGGGGCTGAACCCCAAACCAATTAAACCAGAGCCTGCGCAGGTGAGAACTAGGCAACAATAATTTTTAAAGCTCTTCAGACCATTCTGATGTGCATCACTGCTACAGAGGATGCCAAGACAAATACGACAATCTCCCACTGGATTGAACTTTCAAAGAGTGACTTTTACGGTGTGTCAATAATTATATTTCAATAAAGGTGTTATAAAAGAAAAGTAAAACCGCCTTTGCTCACAGGGGGACAGAAGAGAAACTGCTGAATGCAAGGCCGTGAAGACAGACTCTGTAAGTGTCCAGCTAATTGTCCAGGCTGTGGATGCTGTTAAGAGCTGAGAGGACGGACGTAGAACGCCAGTGTGTGTGAGTTTTCCCAGCCAGTCAACACCATCAGGGCAAGGGCTGGATCTGCAGGGACCAGGTCAGGTTGTTGGATGGAGGCCTGGGAAGTAGGCCGAGGTGAGGAGGAAAGCAACCCAAGTAGAGAGATTGAAGGGTTGGTTTTTTCCCCAATTTTTTATTTGTTTATTGGAGAGGCAGAGAAAGAGAGACAGGCACATGTCCCATCCTTTGGTTCACTCCTCAAATGCCCACACTGCCAAGGCTGGGCCAGGCCAGGCCAAAGTTAGGAGCCTGGAACTCCACCCAGATCTCTCATGTGGGTAGCTGGGACCCAAGTGTTTGAGCCATCGTGTGCTGCCTCCTAGAGTGTGCATTAGCAGGAAGCTGGAATTGGGAGCAGAGTCCAGACTCAAACCCAGGTATTTAGATATGGAACGCTGGCATCCCAGGCAGTGTCTTAACCGCTATGCCACACACCTGTCCTCGGACAGGAGATTCTAATACTTGCCTTCTTGGTGATTGCTAATATATGAAAACCTGTCAACTCAGTTAATAAATGTGACCTACTAGACAAAACACTGTACCCAGCAACTGTAGAATATGTTATTTCCAAGAACTCATGGGTTATTTAAATGGATGATTTGTTGAGCAAGTATCACCAAGTTTCAAGGGATTATGATATTCAGCATGTGCTTGGACCTAATGCAATTAAAGAAGAAATAATAAGATAACTAGGAAATTCTCACAAATTTGGAATTTAAGAATTGCCTTTTGGGGCCACTGCTGTGACCCAGCAGGTTAAAGCTTTAGCCTGCAGTAGCCAGCATCCCATATGGGCACCAGATCGAGTCCCAGCTGCTCCACTTTTTTTTTTTTTTTTTTTTTTGACAGGCAGAGTGGACAGCGCACCGCGCTGATCCAAAGCCAGGAGTCAAGTGCTTCTCCTGGTTTCCCATGTGGGTGCAGGGCCCAAGTACTTGGGCCATCCTCCACTGCACTCCCTGGCCACAGCAGAGAGCTGGACTGGAAGAGGGCTGCTCCACTTTTGATCCAGCTCTCTGCTATGGCCTGGGAAAGCAGTGGAGGATGGCCCAAGTCCATAGGTCATTGCACCTATGTGGAAGATCCAGAAGAAGTTCCTGGCTCCTGGCTTTGGATCAGCTCTTCTCTGACCATTTTGGCCATTTGGGGAATGAACCGTTAAATGGAAGACCTCTCTCTCTCTGTCTCTACCTCTCTCTGTACTGTAACTCTTTCAAATAAATAAAATAAATCTTTAAAAAAAAGAAAAAATGCCCTTTAAAAGTTTTTTTTATTTATTTGTTTTACTTATTTATTTCTCCCACTAAAAAAAGGGAGAAATTTTGGATTTTTAAAAAACTTTATCATGGCCAGCACTGTAGCATAGCAGGTAACAATTCCCCTTCCAGGACCTTCCTCCTCTATGGAAACAGTCTTGGGGCTGGCGTAGTGGGTAAAGCCACCGCCTGCAGTGCTGGCACCCCATATGGGCGCCGGTTCAAGTCCTGGCTACTCCACTTGCTACCCAGCTCTCTGCTATGGCCTGGGAAAGCAATAGAAGATGGCTCAAGTCCTAGGGCCCCTGCACCCCTGTGGGAGACCTGGAAGAAGCTCTTGGCTTCCGGCTTTGGATCAGCTCAGCTCCAGCCATTGTGACTATTTGGGGAGTGAACCAGCAGGTGGAAGATTCTACTCTCTCTCTGGCTCTGCCTCTCCGTAACTATGCCTTCCAAATAAATAAATAAATCTTTAAAAATTTTTAAATCTATTTTCATTTTATTTGAAAGGG